GTGCCAGGGGCTGCTGCTGCCCCAGGGGTGCTGTTGGCTGCTGCTAGCTGGGTGTGGGTCCCGGACCCCTTCCCCAAAAACTGCAGGGGAGGGTCCTCAAAGCATTCCCAAGCCCCATTCTCATGGGAGGGCATCAGGTTCCCCCCTAGTCCTGGCACTGTCCTTCCCCCCCTCTGCAGCGGCTGCACAGGGGGACCAGCCTCGCTGACCCCCTCCCCAAAACTGGCATCCCCCAAAGCAGGGAGCCGGGTGCCGGGGGGCCAAGCCGCGGTGCCTGATGTGGTGCGGGGCGGGCGAGGGCTGGCTCCTGCGGCCCCCCCCCGACCTCCCACACTTCCTGCTGGCCAAGGTACAAAAGGAGAAGCAGACGGGCGCAGTGCAGGCACAGGGACACGCCAGCGTCCCCCCAACACCCAGCGAGCGCCTCAGGGCACCCCACAGCTCCCCGGCCACAGGTAAGGGGTTCTTCTGCCCGGGGAAAACTGAGGCACAGGCAGGGTGGGAGGGCAGGAAGGCGGCTTGTTCAAGGTCACCCAAGGGCTTCGGGACAGAAACCCAGGCGTCCAGAGTCCAATGTCCTGCCCTGCCTGCCGTGCCACCCTGCTGCAGCATGGAGCACGGGGCACTTGCTCACACTTGGGCACGCTTGTGCACACATGCTCCTGTGAGCGCGCACACACCCTGCCGTGCGCACCCCCATGCACATGCATGTGCTCCCCCAGCCCTGTGTCCAGCCACCACCCACGGTGACAAGTCCAGGACCTGCCATCTCCATGGGCACTGTTCCTGGCCTTGTCCCCAGCCTGCTGCCCACCACCCCCCCAAAATATCCCCACTGTACTTTGCCCTCCAGACCACCACCCCATGCCCACAACACCCCCAAACCCCACATCAGCCCTGCAGGCAGCATGCTGTGCCAGGGGGCTCTGCCCGGGGGGGGAGCTCAGTTTGGGGGGCTGCATGTTGGGGGCTGTGTGCCCCGCTTCCCTGCCCCCTTGTGAGCCCCCCGCGCTGTTTGCGGTGTGAGCGAGGGAAGCGAGAGCAAAAGCAAAGGCAGCGCTTCCCCCATGCCAAACCCACATCCTGAATCCTGGGGGATGGGGACAGGGACGAGGCCAGGGACACACTGGGATGGGGGTGCTCAGCCCCAGGAGCCCCCCAAGGAATGGGGGCAGGGGCTGGGCATGGCGTGGGGGCAGAGACTGGGGTCACTTTGGGACAGTGCACATGGACAACTAAGGGGGTACGGGATGGGGCACCTCTGCCTATCCCGTACCCCATGTAGTGGGGGGACATGGGCAGGGAAAGGGGGTGCCTGAACCCACCCCCTCTTACCTTAGCAGCAGGCAGCTCTGGGGTGCAGCTGGGGAAGCAGACCCTCTCCTTGGGGCAGAGACTTTGGGGGTGCCAGGCGAGTGCCAGCCTGGCACCTCTCAACCTTGCCCCTGCCTTTGCAGACCCCCAGGGGACAGCCATGGCGGGGGACGGGGAGCTCAACCGCATCATCAAGGACCTGCAGAGTAAGTGTGCCAGCCTGTCCCCTGCCAGCGCGTCCCCCGCATGGCATATCTCGCCCTGGCCATGCCGGGTCCCTTCTCACACCCAGCCCGTGGGCAGTGGGGGGTGTCACTGCTGGGGTGCTCCAGAGCATCCCAGTGCCAATGCTGCCACTGCTGCCAGCTCCTGTCCTTGCCACCAGCCCCAGGGCACGAGCAGTACCCAGCGGGTACCTGTGCCCCTCGCTCCCCGTGCTCCATTTTTTCATCCCAGGGCAAGTTCCTCTTTCACCCACCGGCAGAAATCCCCAGGGCCGGGAGCTGGGAGGCGGCGAGGAGGCGGGGTGGGATGGGGCAGGGTGCCCGCTGCCCAGGCAGGGCTGTGCCAGCTCAGCCTTGCCGTCCCACAGATGGAGAGTCGACGCGGCGGCCCCGGGGACAGGAACCTGCCAGTGATGGATGGGAGCCGGGAGCTGCACAGCCTCTGTGCCCAGCTGGAATTTCTCCTCCAGGTACCACCACTCCTCCATCCCAGCCGCTCCCTGCCTCAGTTTCCCCTGGGGTGCAGCTGAGAGCAGACGGGACCCCACACCGGCCATTTCAGGCAGTGGGATGACCCCAGCCATGCAAGTACATGGACCAGGCTCACCCATGTCCACATGTGTAATTGCACATGCTGCAAAAGGGAAACTGAGGCACAGAGCCAGCAAAGAGGGGACACCAGGATCCACCCTGCTGGGGGAGCTGGCTGGATCCCGGCCCCACGGGGACAGGCTGGGCGGACAGGGGAGACCCCCAGACGAGCAAGCCCAAGCTTGTGTCTCTGCCAGTTCGACCTCAAGGAGAAGAGGAGCTTCTTCGGGCAGCGCAAGGACTATTGGGACTTCTTGTGCCAGGGCCTGGCGCGACGCCGGCAGGAGCACGAGGGCGTTCGCTTTGTTACCTCCCTGGACAAGGTGGGCACGGGCTGGCAGGGCACCCCAGGGGCTTGTGCACGCACACATGTGTGTACTTGTGTTTGTTTGTGGGTCCACATGCACTTGTGCACAGGCACACACTCACCTGGGCACCAAGGATTTGCCTACCAGCGTTATAAAGGATTTTCTCCCCTCTGGGGTCCCCGCTGCCCCCCAGCCCTGGCTCTGGGGACCCCCTTCCTCCCTGCATGGGCTGGGGGGAGGCTGGGGGGCGGCAGACTGGTGTGGCAGGGCTGGATAACCCCCTCTCCCCACAGCTGAAGACCCCCGTGGGCAGGGGCCGAGCCTTCCTGCGGTACTGCCTGGTGCACCGGCAGCTGGCAGAGTCCCTGCAGCTCTGCCTCCTCGACCCCGAGATCCTCCGGTGAGAGTGGGGGGCATGGGGAGGGCATGCTTGCCGTGGCGGTGGGGCACGGCCACCACCCTGCGGCACACGGTGGGTAAGGGTGTTGCAGGTGCGGGTGCCTGCCTGGGGCTCCGAGGTGTTCATGAGCCCGTTTTGTGGTTGCAGCGAGTGGTACTACGCCCGCAGCCCCTTCCTGAGCCCCCAGCGTCGGGCAGAGATCCTGGGCTGCCTCTATGAGCTGGACGGCGTCACCTTCCACCTGGCCCTGCGCAGGGCTGACCTGGACATCGCCTGGCCCATGTTCTCTGAGTGAGCCTGGGGACGCGGGGGGCACCGGCGGCATTGGGGGAGTCGGGGGTGCCAGGGGCATCAGGGGCACCTGGGGCTCAACATCACAGAGCAGCACACAGGCACCCCCTGCCACCCCGGACCCTGCATGGTGCCCCAGCTGTGCCAGCTGTATGTGGCCCCAGGCTGGCACAGACACCCGTGCTGGCACGCATGCCATGCCCACGCCTGCAAACATCCCACACATGTGCGCACAAACACAGACCGCCGTCCTCTGCCAAGCATATGCTCAGGCACGGGTCTGCTGCAACACCGTGACCCTGTCACATCTGAGACACGGGGACACACATATGTGCATGCACACCCTTGCCCCCCGGCACGCTTGCAGGGGAGCACTTGTGGATGCAGCCACTCCAGCACACTCACGCCTGCTCTGTGCTCACACTCATGTGCACACGCTGCCACAAGCACACACGCAGCCCCCAATTCCCCCCTGCCACCGCCATGGTGCCACCTGCTCTGCGGGTGTTCGGGCTGATGGCACTAGCCTCCCTGGTCCCCTGTCACCAGGTGCCACCAGCCCTGCTGCCCTCTCCATCCCCAAGGGCTGACCGTGCCCAGGGAGCCCTGCAGGAGGGTGGCAGTGCCTGGCTCACCCTGGGGGTGACCTGGTGGCCCTGAGCCCTGTGTCCCCTCTAGGACACTGGTACGGCCCAGCCCAGTGGCCAGGAGCAGCCCGGCAAAGACAGCCCTGCAGACAGGCGATACCAGCACCGGGGCACAGGGATGGCCCAATGGCATTGCCCATCCCACCACGGCACCCCATGGAGTGCCAGCCCACCCATGCCCAACCGCCTTGGCTGCCCCACGGGCAGGGGGTGTAGAGGCAGAAGAGGAGGACGTGGAGGTAAAGAAGGATATGGAAGAGGAGGATGAAGAGGAGATGGAGGAGGAGGAGGAGGACAAGGAGGAGAAGGAAGAGAAGGACGTGGAGGATGTGGAGGTCGATGTGGAGGTCGATGTGGAGGAGGACGTGGAGATGGAGAAGGGCATGAAAGAGGAAGATGAAGAGGAATTGGAGGAGGATGAGAAGGAGATGGAGGATGTGGATGTGGAGGAGCTGGAGGATGGACACAGCGCTGGCAAAGCACCCCAGCCTGATGGTGAAGGGGAGCCCGGCACATCCCCGCCGCCCAGCACAGGGTGCATGCCGGGCTCCTCGCCGCCAGTGCCCAGGCAGGCGGGGGGGATGGAGGCGTCCCTGCGGGCGCTGGTGTCCCGGCTGCGGGCCGAGCTGGGGCAGCGGGAGGCGGCATCGCAGGCGCTGGCGGCCCGGCTGGCACGGGAGGAGCGGCGGCACCGGCAGCGGGAGGAGGGCAGCGCCCGGCAGGCCCGGCTGCGGGCACACGAGGCCGAGGCACTGCGGGAGACCAACGCCTTCCTGGAGCGGGCGCTGGCGGCGGCGGTGGCAGCAGGGGGCCCAGGGGCGCTGGCACAGGCGCAGGAGGAGGCACGGGGCTGGCGGGAGGTGGCGGAGGAGCGGGGCGCCCGGCTGGCCGGGGCGCTGGCAGAGGCGGCAGGGCTGGCCTCGCGCCTGCGGGACTGCCAGGCAGCGCTGGCAGTGGCAGGACAGACGGACACACTGGAGGATGCCAGTGCCCTGGATGAGGTGGCCGCCGTGGAGGAGGTGCTGCGGCGGGCGCTGGAGCTTGCCCGCGGCTCCCAGGAGCCCCTGCTGGACCCCCAGGTGGAGGGGGAGCCCAGCACGGCCGCTGGCATGGCCATGGTACGGGCAAGCCCAAGGGGACCTTGGTGGGGCGGGGGGTTGGGGGGCCAGGGCTGAGTCCCCGCTTTCCCACAGCACCTGGCCACCCTGGCCACCACGGCGCGGGAGGAGGCCCGGCAGAGCTGGCAGCAGCTCCAGGCCCAGCGGCAGGAGGTGGCACGGTTGCAGGAGCAGCTTGGCAGGTTGGGCAGGGACCCCCGGCTCCCACCATCCCCCATCCCACCAATGCAGGGTTTCCTCTGGGCCACCCCATGGTGCCCCACTTGGACCCAGGGGAGCAGCACCTGGGGATGGGCAGGGGGAAGGAGGGAAGGATTTGGGGAGGGAGGGCTGGAGAGAGGCATCAATCTGGGGACTAATAGGTAGGTGGAGGGGTGGGTGGGCAAAGGTGTGGAAGAATGAATTTGGGGCAAGTAGATGGATGGAGGGATGGAGGGGTCGGTGGAGAGGTGAATTTGGGATGAATAGAGGGATGGATGGGTGGATGGAGGGATGAATTTGGGGTGAATAAGTTGATGGGCAGGCACAGAGAGGGATGGAGGGACGAATTTGGGACAAGTGGATGGAGGAACAGAGGGATGAATTTGGGGTGAGTAGATGGACGGATGGGTGGGCAGAAGGACAGAGGGACGGGTGTAGAGAAGGACGGATGAACAGCTGGGAAACAGACGGGTGGCTGGCCCGGCAGGTGGCAAGGTGGCTGTGGGGATGGGGAGCCCACTTGGGGCTGGATAGGCAGCGGATAGGGAGGGATGGAGGGAGGGATGGAGGGAGGGACAGCCAGCTGAGGCACAGGGGGACCATCTCCCCACTGCCCCGCACCAGGGCCCGGCAGGACGGCGAGCGCTGGGCATCGGCGCTGCAGCGGGCGCAGCGGGAGGCCCTGGAGCGGGAGGCCACGCGCGGCGCCGAGCAGGCGCGGCAGCAGGAGCTCATCCGCGACATGAAGGGGCGGCTGCTGGAGCTGCTGCGGTGAGAGCCCCGGGGACCCCACCAGTGTGGGGCCACGGGTGGGTGGGGGGGCCCAAACCCTTTTGCCCAGAGGAGGGCACCAGAGCCCAGGCAAATCCTGCTCACCACCTCGGGAGACCCAGGGGGAGACTTGGGTGCCCACCTTGGGTCTGGGGTGCCAGGGCATGCTTCTGGATCCCCGCCACCGGGCCTGTCCCCTCCCACAGGGAGAAGGATGCCCTGTGGCAGAAGACAGAGGGCATCGACACCCCGATACCCAGCCCGGCGCCCCGTGATGCAGGGCTGTGCGCCCGCTGCCGCAAGGATTTCCGCCTCCTCTCGCGGCGGTACAGCTGCAGGTGGGCTATGGGGGGCACTGGGGGTGGCACTGGGGTGGCACGGCTCTCACTGCCCGCTCTCTTGGCAGGCTGTGCCAGGGCAAGGTGTGCCATGCGTGCTCCGTGGACGTCGGCAAGCAGGGTCGCTGCTGCCTGCTTTGCTACCAGCAAAGGCACCCGCAGGCTACGTGAGCTGGGACCACAGCCCTGGCACTGCCCCTGGGACACCCCCTGCCCTGGCTGCCTCCTCTCAGACTTACCGAGGACCCAGGCGTCCGGGGCCTCCAGGCAGGTCCTGCTGCTCGACATTTTGGGTTTGAGACATGTCTTTCTTGTGGCTGGTCCACGGAGAGGAAAACAACTGGCTCCTGCTACCCCTGTGGCTCCCGTGTCATCTATCGGTTGTCGCCGGATTGACCCCCAGGCTGGCTGCGGTGTGGAGGGATGCCGGTATGGGGGTGTCCGAGCCCTCCTGGGGGGAATCGTCCCCATAAGGGGTGTCCCAGCTGCAGCCAGGCTGAGCCACCTTCTGCCCTGTCCCGTAGTGGGGAGGCAGCAGCAGGCAGGGGAGACGCCTCTTGGCCAACAGCCCCGGCTTCCTGCCAGGCTGCGAGGAACCGCTTGGGCAAGAGGTTTCCCAGATGCAAAGGTGATGGGCTGATCCTGCCCAGCCCCGAGTCCCCAGGGCTCCCTGCCTGCGTGCCAAGGGGGCTGGAGGAGCAGTACGGGACCCCATGGAAAGATGCTTGGGCACGCTGGGGCAGGCACCCTGATGCCTGGCACACAGGGTGGCCGGAGGGAGCCCAGCAGGGTCACAGCCCCCTCTTCAGCCCTTCTGCCCCACTCCGGTGCCAGCCCCAGTTGCCCAAGCCAGGGCGGAAATGTTGCGGTTGTGTAAGGGACAGGTTCCCTGCCCTTTGCACAATGATGTCCTGGCACCGCAGTGCCGGGGGGGGCAGGGGGTGCGCTGGGTGCTGGCACACTTCGGGCAGAGGTCACAGGGCTGGCTTGGTGTCAGCGAGGGGCTGCCCAGGGATCTTGCAGTGATTTGCTCCACTGGGACTCGCATCAGGGTCGGGAAGGGGGTGACTTTGTCCCCAGATAGGAGAGACACCGCACAGAGACCCCCGTGCCAGGGAAGTGCCAGGACCCAGCTGGGCGGCTGCAGGGAGCGAGACTCAGGTTTGGGTCCCCTCTGGGGATGCACAGGATGCCGAACCCTTTGCAACAGCCTCTTGGGCAACAGCCCTTCCCTGGCCTGGAAGGAGGGTTACCCACACCTCGCCAGGCTCAGCTGGCACCGCTGCGTTGGCACTGAGGTGGGGAGCCCAGGACCCAACGTCCCCAGAGATGTGCCCTGGCCCCATCCCGCCATCTCCCTCCCCGTGGCAAAGAGGAGCCAGACCCAGGTGACAAACCCACCAACTGCTTTATTTCTGGACGGCCATCGGCCATGAACACCATCCCCACAGTGGGGTCGTGGAGTCCCCAGAGTCACAGGCTCTGCCCAAAGAGCAAGGAGGGTGCACGGTGCTTGGCATTGCTCCCCTGGGAATGGGGTCCTACCCCCTTGCCACACAAGCCCCCTTCCAGCCGGGGTCCAGCATCCAGTGTTGGCCCTGCCCATCCCCGTGGTATCACCGCCCACATCCCAGGGGGCTGGGCAAGGATGCTGGGGTGCGTGGGGTGCCGGGACCTGCTGGGAAATGCGAGGGTTGGGTCCCAGCAGGGCTCAGAGGGTGGTGGAGGTGTTGCCAGAGGTGGAGGTGTAGGAGGCGTGGCCATAGCGGGCCACAGCATCCTTGCTGATGAGCCCATGCTGTGCCAGGATCTTGAGGAAGCTGTTGCGAAACTTCTGCCCGATGAAGGCATAGATGATGGGGTTGATGCAGCTGTGGGCAAAGCCCAGGACCTGCGTGACAGAGAGGGCCGTGTCAATGCGGTTCCTCCTCTCGCAGGTCTCAGCGATGGCCCGTGTCCTCATGAGGGTGTCGCTCACCAACGTGATGTTGTAGGGCAGCCAGCAAATGAGGAAGACCAGCACTACGGCGAAGATGACCTTCATGGCCCGCTGCTTCTGGGAGTTCTTCGTCTGCAGGAGGGTGTGGATGGTGACGCCGTAGCAGAAAAGCATCACCAGGAGGGGCAGGGCGAAGCCGAAGGTCTGCGGCAGGATCCGCAGCACGACCCGCCACTTGGCCGTGTCCTCGCCGCCGATGCGCTCGTAGCACACGGTGCCGTTGCTGGGTGAGGGGAAAGCCTCACGGAAGAGCAGCACAGGCAGGGAGAGCAGCACGGAGAAGACCCAGATGCCCAAGCAGACAAACTTCACCCAGTGCCTCTTCTCGGTGGCGGCCCGGGTGGCGTAGACGATGGCCAGGTAGCGGTCCACGCTGATGCAGGCCAGCAGCAGGATGCCGCTGTAGAAGTTGGCCTCCTGCAGCACAGAGATGGCTTTGCACATCACAGTGCCGAAGACCCACTCGTGGGCTCGGTAGGCAGCCCAGAGCGGCAGGCTGAGGGCGAAAAGCAGGTCGGCCACAGCCAGGTTGAGCAGGTAGACGTCGGTGACAGAGCGGTTGGTGTGGTTGGAGGTCACCACCAGCACCACCAGCCCGTTCCCCACCACACTGAGGATGAAGACGAGGCAGTAGATCACCACCACCAGGTACTTGTTGAGGACAGAGCCATCGGGCCGGCACGGGGCAGAGGAGATAGCAGTGTCGGGCATGGCCGTGTAGTCATAGGAGTAGTTGTAGAGGGTGAAGATGTTGGATAAATCCCCATTGAAGGAGAAGGACTCCATTTTGCCTGTGGAGCACAAAGTAGCATGAGTGTGGGGTGGGAGGGTGGTGTGGGCCAGGGCTGACAGCATCTCTGGGTCCCCTTGGCATCTCCATTGCCCCCCAGGTCCCCTCCAAGCCAGTGGGCAGCCCCCCTCTGTCGCTCCACTGTATCCATGCTGTGCCAGGTAATGGGCAGTGCTGCAGGTGGACACCATCCCTCGTAGATCCCCTTGTACAACACCCCCAGCACCCCTCGGTCTGGTCCACTTCACCTCAACCCTGACCCTTCCCTGTCTCCCATGGAGGAAGAGGTTCGCCCACAGACCAGCCACCTCTTCTCAGGTTTGGGGGGCTCCCCCATCAATGCAGCATCACGCCCCTCCAGGAGACACCTGGCCCCTCCAGAATCCCTGGTTCCCCTTAGTTTGTGTGGGTCCTTCAAAAGCCTCTGAGCTCTTTGGGCATCTCAGGGCCCCTCAGGCCCCTCCAAAGTCCTTCGAGCACCTCTGAATCCCTCCAGCCTCTCCATCCCCTCAAGCATCGCTGCTGGAGCTGCCCCTCCTCCCACCCCAGCCAGCGGCGAGGCTGCGGTCACAGTGCCCAGGGCAGGCGGCACTCGAGAAGGTCTGAAGGTGGTTTCATGCCCTTCTTCCCCCACCCCGGTCCTGTCCCTGTGTAAGTGGTTTCACCCCCCGGACGGAAAGATGTGTCACCCTTTGCAGGTGGCTTTGGACATATTTCACGTCTCTCGTTTTCCTGTTGCTCAGCCGGGCGCTGCCGGGCATCCCCGTGTGCCCTGCGCCCGACCGCAATCATTGGGGAAATCACAGCTGCCCGCCGCCCTTCCTGCCTCCTCACGTGCAGGACACCCTGTTCTGTCCCTGCCTCCCCAAAGACCATCAGGTTTCAGCCTTCTCCCAGTATGGATCAGGACTCTAATTTCACTCCAGTTTCACCCCTCTGCCCCGTTTCCAAGCCCCCAAGCCCCTCCAGGGCTTGGCCATGCCAGGGCTGCTTGCGGGTGCTGAGACGCCACGGTGCTGGGGGGTCCCCGGCCCCAAGCTGGCCCTGTTTGACCCAAACCCTCCCTGGCTGCAACTTTCCCCTTCTCCCTGGCTGCAACTTTCCCCTTCTCCCTGGCAGGGATTCCCCGCTGCAGCTGGGACAGTGCCCCTGTCCAGAAAAATCCCTCCCTGGCTCTGCCAGCCCCGCTCCTGCAGCGATGCCCTGGCATCCCAAAGGACCGTGGCCGGGGACATTGCTGGTGCCAATGGGGGAAGGTCCCTCTGCGTGGGGCTGCCATGGGCACAGGGCAGAGCTGGACACCAGTGCTTCCCCTTGGTCTATTTTTGGCTGCTTCTTTCTGCCTCCCCACTCCAAAATCACAGCGGTTCCTCTGGGACCAGGTCTCCCCCAGCCCAGCTGGGAGAACAAGCAGCATCCCTTTCCCCTCCAGACCCTGGAAGGGCTGGTGGACACAGGGGTGGCCCTGGGGGTCCCTTCGGGGCGGAAGGAGGGACATACCATGGGGAAGCGTCCTCCCGGCTCATCGCTGTGGGATGAAATGGGAGTGGGCGCTTTTCCGCCTGGGGGCACCCAGAGGGGTTTGCACCCCAGATGAGCACCGAGCACAGCCCTGGGTGCCCCCACCCACCACCTCCCGCTCCCCCCGGCACCAGGCAGCCCCTCGGGCAGCTGGAGCAGCCCACCCCGGCCCCCAGCCCACTCCGCATGTGAGGGGGCTCAGCCAGGTGCTGGGGGGCTGGCAAAGCCTGAGGAAAGCCCCGGTCACCCCAGGGACTCACCGCTCGCTGCCCTAACCGTCCCCCCAACTCCGACGTCTTCTCCCAGTCACAAGTCAGTCCTCACTGGGGAACACAGGGACGAATCCAGGCGTCGCCCCCAAAGGGCTTCGGCACGGAGGTTGGTGGGACGCGGGGCAGTGCCAGGCCCGGGGGTCCCGCCAGGCCAGCCCGAGGGTCCCTCACCTGCGCCCGCCGCCGTGCCGCCTCCCGGCACCCCTTCCCTCCGCTGCCTGCTTTATGCCGCCTGGGGAGGAAGAGAGGTTGCAAAACCTTCACCAGTGTGAAGGGGAAGTGGCAGTCAGAAGGGACCCTTCCCCGGCCCCCCCAGGACAGCTTCCCCTGGCCGGGGGGAAGCCCACAGCCCCCTGCCACCCTCCTGCCCTGAGGTGTCCCAGGCCACCCGGCAGCGGGTGACACTGGGGCACACCCAGGGGTGCATCGCCCCCCTGCAGTGATGCACCCCGGGGGTCTCCAGCCAAGGGTCCCCACCTTGTCCCCTGGCCCCCAGCAGATGGGGGGCTCCCCTTCGAGACCCACCCGGGTGCTGCAGACCCCCGGGAGAGCGGAGGCCCCCTGGGGCCGTGAGGGGGTTCGGCAGGCAGGCTGGTGGGTGAAGGCAGGGCAGGGCTCCGTGCCTCAGTTTCCCCGTTGATAGAGCAGGAGTTGGCACCGGAGTTCGGCACAGGGGCACTGCGGGGCTGGCTTGCCTCTGTTGGGGGATGCTGCGGGGGACCCCCCAGAGCAGAGCCCTGTGTCCCTCCTACCCTGGCTGTGCCGAGCCAAGCCGAGCCATGCCTCCAGGCAGAGCCGTGCCCCTGCACCAGCCCCCTCCCAGCCCCTGGCACCCCCGTAACCCTGGGGCATCCCTACTCCACTGAGCACCTGTATTGCCTTTGGGGGAAGCCTGCACCCCTGAGCACCCTCTGGGGCACCCCAAACCCTTCGTGCACGCCCATCCCCATAGCTTTTGGGTGCCTGTCGGTTTTAGGGGTACCCCACACTTTTGGGATACCTCTGTTCCCTGGGGGCACCCGTACAGCTCTGGGCACCGTCATACCCCCGGCGCATCACCACAGCTCCAAGAACACTCCTGTTCCATGGGGACACCCCCATGCTCTTCTGGGGCACCCCCAAAGTTTTGGGCACCCCCCCCAGCTCCAGGGCATCCTCACAGTCCCCCTAGGGTGTCCCCATTCCCTGGGGTGCTCCCATGCTTTTGGGGACCCCCATTCCTTTGGGGCATCCTCTCATCACCCTGGGTCACTCCTGTTCCCTGGAGGCCCCCCCAGGCTTTTGGGGTCCCGTAACCCGGGGATCATCCAACCTGCAGGACACCCCTTTTCCCTGTGGGCACCCCCATCTCCCTCGAGCACCCCATTCTCGTGCAGACCCCCATTCTCTGGGGCACACACACATCTGCCTGCGGTACCCCTCTTCCCTGGGCACCCCCACACTTTTGGGGACCCCCTCACCCTAGGTGCACCCCATACCCTTGGGGGCACCCCCACACTTTTGAGGACCCCCTCACCCCAGGCGCACCCCATGCCCCTGGGGGCACCCCCACACTTTTGAGTACCCCTCATACCCCAGGTGCACCCCCACAGTTTTGGGGACCCCGTCACACCAGGTGCACCCCATGCCCCTGGACCCTCCCACCGGGGGGACTCCCTGCCCTGGGGCACCCCCAGCCCACCGGGGCATCCCCACACTTTTGGGGACCCCCTCTCCCCAGGCGTACCCCATATCTCTGGGGCACCCCCACACTTTTGGGGCCCCCCTGCCCTGGGGCACCCCCAGCCCCCCG